TGCATGCAATTAATCAATAACTGCAAGTTCTATTGCCATAAAAAAATTTGATGCCTAAATATATGTTTGGAATTAGTTACATAACTATAACGAAAAGTATATTAAAATATTAAAAGTATACTGATCAGGCGTTTAAAGCCGTAGGCAGAATCTGATTAATATCATTGTCATCAGTTGTCTTAATAATATTTAGTAAGTTTTATGTACAACAATCTGAATAGAATAGAATAGAAAATCATTTATTCAAATAAACTTAATTTAAGCACTTTTGAATAGTCATAACAATTTGTTTTTTATATACCACTCGTTCAAACTACCAACAAGCACAAATTTTTTGGGTCAAATATAAATATGCAATGAGATTAAATCAGTCGTAGTGATAAGAGCAGACCAGTCCCTACAAGCAGCACTCGTTCAAAACAAAAAATTGATTGCTTTTTATCTAACTCAGTTACTAGCAATACTTATTTATCAAGTCAAAATCGATAGAATTGGAATTTTATATGTAATATAATTAGTTAATATAATATACAAAGTGCTGGAGTTATAAGGCAATTGCAACTAGAAATACATACGAGAAATCTGTATTTTAAAATTTTTAAAGTGAGGTTTGTTACTTATTGTCCCTATTATAATTAAGAGTCTGGAAGCATCTCGCGTAGAATCGCGTCGGTACCTACGCTAGGCCCTGTTGCACTTTGCGCTTGTTTTCTGCCATGTTTTTCTATGTCACCAAAATTTAATGCGCTCATTCACGAGCAGTTGACGCACTTTGCAATTTTTATCATTTATATCAGGATCAGGTATAAAAATGATGATTCTTGTTACTTCAGATTTTGATTCTATATGTTACACGTTCCGATTTGTCGATTTTTATATTACAGTTTTGTTTGTTGTTATGGTTTTCTATCACCGGATAATTAATCGGACATTTAAATTGATACTAAAACTTTTTTGGCTTGTTCAGATTCGAAGTCTTGACTTTTTTTGTCTATAATTTGATAGATAGAAAACATTGTTGTTTTCTATGAAACTCTCAATATGTATGCTTTATACATGCTAATATTATATCCTCAGATATATGCTAAGAAAATATATTCGGTATATATTAAAAATAAATACATGAAATCTACAAGGTTACAAGTATTATTACTGAAATAGTTAAAATTACAAAATTATTTACCTGTAGGTTTCTCACATGGTAGCTATCTTACATTTTATTCTGATTAAACTAAAACAGCACTCGAACACCTGTTAAAATATATTTCTTTGTATCTATTTATGTATCTGAAACGCCTACAGACTCCAGCCTATGATACCAGTAGCGAATGATCGATGGAGCGACACTCAGATATGCGCAGGTCCTAGTCCTAGGTCCTAGTACTACAAAATGCACCTAAAGGTAGGTAATAAATAACAGACATCGATACAGCGCAGGTGCCGCTATCCCGGACTGCATTTTACGCATGCACAAATCAATAACTGCAAGTTCTATTACCGTAGATAAAAGAAGTTGGCGTCTAAATACATATTTGGAATTACTTCCATAACGAACTGGACTTACGGTACCAATAAATTGGTTTGACAAACTCAAATTATCAATAAACAAAGACATAAGTAACATTTTATCCCAGGCAACAAATATTAAAGGAACTCGTGTCGTTCAAGCGTTGTAGGCAGAAGTTTGTCTTTGTCTTATTATTATTTCGTAAGTTTATAAGAAATATTTAATATGTTTAACAAACTGTTTGCTTTTTTATCCAACTCAGTTACTAGTAATACTTACTTAAAGCACATTAAAATCAATAGAATTATAATTTTGGATATAATATTTGAGTGCTGGAGTCACAAGGTATACCAGTTGTACGTGCCTATGGTAACTGTTAAACAACTGTATACTTTAAAACTTTTTAAAATGAGAATTGTTAGTAATTGCCTTAACTATTATAATCAAGAGCCTGGAAACGTTTCTAACAGGTTCTAGGTACAGACGCGACGCGACTGGAAACGTTTCCAGTCGCGTCGCGTCTGTACCTAGAACCTGTTGAACATTGTTGGCCGCCATGTTGTTCCATGTCGGCAAAATTTTATTTACGTCGGTAAAAGTTAAAGCACTTAGTAAGTTTTTACGCCAGGGCCAGGTATAATAATAAAAATGATGACGTTAATTACTTTAAATTAGGATTCTGAATATTTTTGGGTTAACCAGATTCGAAATCTCGACTTTTTCTGTCCATAAGTCCACGTAAAAAATACGCTACGGTACTTTCAATATGTCTATGTATATCTAATTAATAATATACAAAAATTTTATCTATATAAAATCCTCATACATACAGGAACATACAAAGTCTAATATTAAATAAACATACATGAAATGTTAAAACTTTGAATAACTAAACTTACATAATTCCTTACTTGTTGGTATCTCACATCGTAAAAACTTAAATTTTATTCTATATAAACTGGAACGGCACTGAATTGTCACTTATATGATATATTACTTTGTATCTATTTATGTATTTGGAACGCCTACAGCCTCCAGCCTATGATCTCCTGTAGCGAATGATCGATGGAGCGACGCTCAGATATGCGCAGGTCCTAGTACTTCAGGGAAACGTACTACAAGCTAGATAATAAATAGCGAACGTCGATACAGCGCAGGTACAGCTATTCCGGACTGAGCTTCATGCATGCAATTAATCAATAAATGCAAGTTCTATATCCATAAAAAAAATGTCTAAACGTATGTTTGGAATCACTTACGATTAACTTAACGATCCGGATTAACCATACAAATATATTGTTTTCACAAATTTAAATTATCAATAGACAAAGACAAGTTAAATTCTTGTCACGAAATATTAAATGTATATTGTTCAGGCGTCCAAAGTCGTAGGCAGAATCTGATTTATATCATTGTCTTCTATTGTCTGATTATAATTTAGTAAGTTTATAATGAAGTTTTTAGTAAGTACAACAAACTGCTTTTTTTATCTAACTCAGTACTATATATATACTATACTTATTTGAAGCTCATTAAAATCGATAGATTTGGAATTTGGTAATAATCGAGTGCTGTAGTATATAAGTGGTATTTTAAAATTTAAAACGATAATTGTTAGTAATTGCGTTTAGTATTATAACCAAGAGCTTGGAAGCTTTTCCCGTCGCGTCGCGTCTGTACCTACAACCTGTAGCGTATTGTTTGCCGCCATGTTATTGCATGATGGAATTTTTTACGCCTGGGTCAGATATAATAATAAAAATGATGATATTAGTTACTTTAAATTATGATTCTGAATATTATACGTGTCCATTCGTCGGTTTTTTAAAGTTTTGGTTGTTGTTGTTTTCCGTCACTAGAGAATTACATTGTCGGACATTTAAATTAACAGTTTTTTTTTGCAGTGGCCAGATTAGAAATCTCGACTTTTTCTGTATATAAGTCTACGTAGAAACAGTACGGCTACGGTACTCTCAATATGTCTGTCTGTATTACTAATTAACATATCAAATTTTTATCTATATAAAATCCAAATATGTGTGTATAAAAATAAATATATTAAGTCTAATTATATATGGAAATACATGAAATATTAAAACTTTAAATAGCTTAACTTACATAATCACTTACTTGTTGGTATCTCACATTGTAGAAATCTTACATTTTATTCTATCTAAACTGAAACGGTACTGATTTTTCACTTAATAATATATTATTTTGTCTATATTTATCTATCTGGAACGCTTACAGCCTCCAGTCTATGTTTTCCAGAAGCGAATGATCGATGGGAACGACGCTCAGATATGCGCAGGTCCTAGTACTTCAGGCAAATGTACTAGAGCTAGGTATTAAATAGCGAACGTCGTTACAGCGCAGGTGCCGCCATCCCGGACTGCACTTTACGCATGCACTAATCAATAACTGCAAGTTCTGTTAACGTAGATAAAAATATAGGAGTACCAGTATGTGGAATAAAATTCTCGAACAGGGATGAATTAATTTAATCCTATATTTTTCTCTAACTCAAACTACTAATACTAATTTCGTTACACAATTAAGAACCTGGAAGCATCGTCCGTCACGTTGGTACCGACCTACTATTTGCACATTGTTTCCCGCCATGTTGTTCCATGTCGACAAAATTTTATGTGTCGGTAAATGTTGACGCACTTTGCAATATTTATCAAGTTTTTACGCGAGGATTACGTATTAAATTTATCATCTTTCTTTCTTTAGATTATGATTCTAAATATTAATATTATATATTTGCATCGTTCTGAGAAATAATTCTATTCGTTGCTAGCGTTTACCATTATCTACAAACCTTATACAATGTCTTTGTCTATTAAATAAACTAGAAATATCAATATATTTATAAAATAATTTATTGTTTGTCTATGACCAACACGTGGGCGACGCCATTAATGACGAGTATTTTTGATGGCTACCTTTATAAGTACTTAATTTCTTTTAAAAAAAGGCAAAATGCACTATAATATAGGTATAGCTATGAAAACAGCTGCCATTTGGGCGCTAATGACTATACTAGTTATTAATTAGGGCTGCAGGTAAGACCTATGTGGGATCGCTATAACAAAGGAAAATGGTGGATGCCGCTTACACTGTCAAAATTTCTGCTTCTTCCTTTGTTTAGGCTAATATCCACGTTTTTAATAATATCAGATTATATACCATATAAATAGGTTTAAGAGATACCTACATTATAATATCAAAAATATTATTTAGAAAACCTAACTACTTTTTATATTACTTTAAGTAGATTTATGTACTTTGTAGTTACTCGTTATTTTGCATTTATGTAATAAATAATTTATGTAAAACAAAGGATACCTACACAAAATTTCATGTTCATATTTCAAAATCAACTGCGCAAAATTTCACCAGCAACTACAGAGTACAAATAACAATAAAAGGAGAATAAGAAGTAATTAAAGGAAATAAAGAGCCCATAGATTATGAAATGGTGACTTACATGTAATCGAACCAAGCTCGCGATTATAATGATCAGGGCCACCGCTAGGTACATGCACTTGTTTTTATTAACTTTATGCCAATTAAAAAGTTTATTAATAGAAATAAACTGTACTGGTGACGCGAGGAAATTTTGTAATGTACTCACCAATTTGTTATCAGCGGGGGAATGAGACCCGGCGAGAGAATTTGCGAGATCGATGAGGGCGCGCATGCGCCCTAACCTAACTACGCAGCTACCTATTTTCCTTTGAACTTCGACATTTTAGTTCGCTACGATAAAATGGCGTCGTGTTGCTGTGTGAAATATTCTATATGTAATCATCTTCACAGATTTATGATAAATTATTTTACTAATATCATAAGCGCTAAAATTTGTAAGTATGGATGGATGTATGTTTGTTACTGGACTACTGAACGGATTTTGATAAAACTTTATAATAATATAGGTTATACATCAGAATAACACAGGTTATACATTTCACGCGAGTGTAGGTAACCGCGGGCTAGCTAGTATTGACATATGATTGTCTCACTGTTGGATAATTGTCATTTATGGAACACATAGGTTATTTGTTATAATATTTACTAGTTTATTATATTAATAATAGTATAGGAATGACGAATCCATTGGGGAAAATATTATATATATTATATGTTTGCTTGGACTGCCTACCCCGTTTTGTTTTATATATAAGTACTAAATAGTAGATACCTATGTAATATCTGTAAGAATACGTCCACTATCGATAATACTCACACTATTAATTACAAGTAATATAGTAATATTTAGTTAAAAATATATATTAATTACAGTACCTAGATATTCACTATATATAATGTTTATTTAGCGAAAATCATCAAATTTATTACCTATTTATAAAATATAAAACAGTTCGCTATCGATTAAATCATATGAAAAAAGAAATATATAATCGATTGGAGAGTACCTTCGACGTTTTAACTTTAAAGTTGGAAATCCAACGCAACTTCAGCTTATTTTTATTAAATATGCACTTAAGTTATAGGTAAGTATTTTTGCAACGCAGACGAAGACGCGGGGAAATGGTAGTGCCCGAGTAGTAATTTCCCCGTCCATTATAATGATGATGTAACCAAAGATATATTAGACTTCATATATGTCCATAACACGTGTAAGTCTTTGTATTTTAATACTCGTGTACTATTAAGTAGGTTTTATACTGCTGTTACTGGAATAATAATAATAATTCTCACTGCGCCCTCTAGACCCAAGCTACGCAAGGTGTACAAGACAACTGATAGAAGTACATTAATATAGATAGTATATTTAGACAGTAGATAGTTTTTTTTAAATACACACATCGTGTACATAGGGAACACCTAGACCAATAAATAATAATCATACTCATGAATACAAAAGTTTCTAGCGTATGATTCGAAATAGCTTAATGTGCTTTAACCACTAGACCATTGAGGTCGTTAGTAGACTTCAGAAATAGTTAATTATGTTTAATGAGGTCCGGACCTCTGTCATCAGTCGACTCATCCACTTCAGCCACCAGGTAGTTTGCGTTGTAAGCTGCTGGTTCTGTTATCATGTATTGGTGACGATTAGCATATACTTATCAGCAGGGTTGTGAACATGTTTGGCATTTAAACTACATAAAATGTCTATGGATATTTTTAAGCAAGAAGAAAAAAGTAAGTAAGTTTTAAAGAAGATAGGTAGTAAATTATTCATTCTTTCATTTATTTATTTATGGTAAGGTAAACGCTGTGGTAAAATGTATCTAAATGGTAAATGTATAGAGGTCCTTATTCATAATGGCGTCGTATTCGAGTAGGTGCCTATTCAATGTCAGTTCGTTTCATAATTTGTAAAGTTTATCCAAAAGTTTTCTTTCCAAATTACGTTTTGAGAATTTATCCTGCAAGTATTACGGATTCCTCAATTTATGTTTCACTAAGTTCCTGCTTGACTTGTGTTTTATTGCCATTGTGTCGAATTTAGTATTAAATTAATTAATTACATTTAATTACTAGAACTTCCTTTCTTTAAATGTGCGCACAGTTACATCAAGGACTGCATTATCTGCCGAAGGTTTATCTAAAGTGTAAGTAGATTAAGGTTTTTCAAGACTTTTTTGGAACTAATCTAATACTGTTTGCCGCAGCTGGACTCTACGGCTGGTACATTAAGGTTTCTTAAGGGTTGGGAACGGGCACGTGATTTCCTGATAATTAGGTGTCCATAGGGTGTAGGTATAGTTAAGACCTTTTGATTTCTCGAGGATGGGCTAATTGACGAGTATCTTGGTCATCTTATCATCTTCCACTGGTGCTCCGTTTGGTCCGTTAGGTCATATTCCCGCAAGCGGGTGCACTATTTTATAATAATTGAAGAAAACGGCCAACGAGCAATTTACCGAGGTACTTAAACACATAATAAATGCATATGTCGGTACTGTATATATGGCTGCCATGATGCATGACAAAGACCAATATACCAGACATTGCTGTCTCATTCTATCTCATGAGGGTGATAACGATCGATTCGGCTGTCCAGGCCTCTGATCAGACCACCTGCGCGTTGCCAGGGCTCTCGTTACCATGGAGTCGCATTTCCCAGATCAGACGGGTGCGCTGTTGGAAACCAGAAGGTGATAAGTTCGAATTCAGGTTGCTATGCCTTATGTAAAAGGCATAGCAACTCAATTAACATAAAACAGACAAGTATACTTATTTTTTGTAAAACTGAAAAGGAAACGCCATTACACATCCTATGTGGTTGTAGCCCACTCATGCATAAATGTAATATCTTCTTTGGAAAGTTTACACTTTACCCTGAGGAGATAGAAACCATCGCTCCTAAGAATATCCTTTAATTCTTATCGCTAACGGGTCTAGGTAGCGAGTACAATATATCTATGTAGGTCGCAGAGCTACAGATCCGAGCAACTGACAATAGCCCAAACCCCCCAATAATAAAAACTTAATTTTTATGTAATTGAAATGGCAAGTTGGCAGCGCTCCTTATGGTAAGTGGTAACCGTCGTCTAATACAGCATGGATATCACGTTATCATATAACACCCGTGATACTGATAAAGCGTTGCCATTGACTGGCCAACTGAGATGTTATGCTTCTTATCCTGTAATTTCATTGCATTTTCTCACCCTACGGCCGAAACACAGCTTACAAAAAAGGCTGCTTGGCGACTGAAAGGCTAGGCTTAGGTATTTATTAAGGTTATACGCTGGCGTCTTTATATGAAGTACCTTAATAAATATAATATTTTTAAATTTTGGAATTTTAATTATTACATTATCCTATTTGATTAAAATTTTGAGGAAGAATCTAACATAACCCCATAAAGCAGGGTTTCTTCTACAAAGGTCTGCTATCAGATATAGCATATTTTTTTCCTATTTATTTTGGATAATTCACGCAATATCTTTATGAATTATAATCTTTGTGTTATTTATATATATCTAGATATACATCCAAAAAACAAACTTTCTCGTTTATAATGTAAGTAAAGATTTCACTAGTATTTAATTTCACAAACTCTTTATGTTTAGTCAGCTTCTTTGCCTTCTATGCCCCTAAAAAATAACTATCCGATTACATAATAATCCCAATTTAAAAAAAAAATCAAAAATTTAGAGAACCATTATTATACAAGCTACGAAGTTTTGGGATTTGTAAAATAATTTATAGGTTTTAGATCCACTGTTCCTTGACGTTACTAACGTCATCTCACTCACCCCCACGCATAATTTGGCTCACTGAACACATCAATAAAATGTAACTATTGAAAGTATACGAAAATGACATTGTGACATTATAATAATAATCATCTAGGACAATAATCACATAATTTTAATCAAGTCCTAAATAAAACTTGTACTATGGTTATTAATGCAATAATTATTATGATACATAATATAAAAAATTCTCATATCAAACGGTTTCTTAACAAAACTCCTCCGAAAAGGCTTGACAGATTCTTATGAAGCTTTGTGTGTATATTTAGTAGCGCTGAGAATTGGATGGAACCTTTTTTATATCTATAAGTAATGAGAATTTTTCACAACAATATTTATTACGTTTAAATTTTCTGAAGATTAGTTTTGCGTTTAAAAATTCATACATCCCTAACTTCTATCATCCTAGTAATAATAAATGAAAATAAGAGAGATGCGTGTAGAGACGTTTATTATAGCAGAGCGCAGTGACAGAAATGTATAAAACAAAATGTATATAAAGAACATCATATTTTGAATATGGATGAAAGAATATATAAAAACTGCCAGTGTTCCTCATTGTAGGTCTAACAATCCTACTACCCCTATTTTTTAATACCAATATTAGTGTGGTATATTATAAAAGTATATGTGGCAACACTGTAGAATTGTAAAAAATTGTATATTTATATATATATAAGGTTAAGTGAAAATAAAACTATTGTAATCAGATATTCTAAAATAAAAGTGTAATAATAATGATAATTTATTTATTTGCTTGCTACATGGTAATTTTGATCTTACAATATAATATAAGTACACAACATGCAGCACCGTAGGGGTATGCAAATATTGAAATTGATATCATAATTATTTTAATTAAATTTCTTTTATTCATTCATTATAATAGGTACTATAATAAAATAATAAATGTCACAGTATTCCACTAATGTCAACCAGTATGAAAACTATAATTACATGAAGTTAAAGTTTGTATGTCAAATAATCCCTTATACTGTAGAAGTTATTCACAATTAGCCACTCCTGTAACGTTGCCCTAAAATGCCTTATATTACATTGTTTGATAGTATCAGGAACTTTATTATAAATTTTATTAAACATAGCAGTGCTATTGTTTTGATGGAGGATGGATGTTCTCGGGATAATGTCTAAAACTAACCTCTCTGCATTACGAGTGTTACGTGGATATATATCCTTGGCTTTCGTAAAAAGTTCCTGATGCCGTTTAACATGATTACAGACTTCCAATATATACATTGAAGGTACCGTTAATACTCTAAGTTTGATCAACAATGGCCTACAAGACGTACGCGGGATGGCGCCGCAT